AATTGTCAGCAGTACTCTTATTTATTGCACAAGGCAATGACAGTATTTATTATTTACGACAGAGAGGAATTATTTTTATTAGAAACTATTTTTATCGTCGTGTGGACTATATTTTATTCCATTTTTTTGTTTAAGTAAAATAAAAAGTAATACAATCTTATTTCGAGTTAAATTCTTCCATATACCGCCGCCCGGTGCGGTCATAAAATCAGATACAACATTTTGTTGTGACCTTTAGGAAATGTTTTAACATCCTGAACAAAATAAATAAAATAATTTCCCAAATGCACTCAATTTAAAGTGTATTTACTTTTTTTTAATTCTTCGTATTTTAAAACGCCCTCTTTCATGACATTCATCTTTGACCGGAGTCAAAGCAGGAAAAAGGCAATAGAAACAAAAAGCCTACGGCGTCAGTCTTATTTTTTATATGGTTGATTCAGCACATTGCACACCAGCAGGAGCAATCATTGAGTAATGACCAATGGTGATAACTATATTTTTAACGAAAGACCATAGAACAGATTGTAGGAATGTAGTACATTGCAATGTAGTACAAATGTTTTAGATGGATAACATTGTCAAGTCGTTTGAAATTTCATGTTTATGTCACAATTTCCAGTTCTCAAGTGATTGAAAATAATTTGAGTATTTGCTTCTTTTGTTTCACGAAAATTTAAATTTCGATAGATAGAGTGTTAAAAGGATAAGCAGAGCAAATAGAATTAACGGATAGATATGCTTGTTCCGGATATCTGGACCAAAGTAGAGCGGTTGAAGGCTGAAAACATTAAAGTAAGAAAACGAGAAAGCGAGTGAAATTTGCAACATAAAAACTCCTTTGTTAAAAAAATTCACGATATTGAAAATAGTTCAAATATTACTCTTGTATTTTGTTACTGCACGATTTTGACATATGTGACAAATATGGGTGGGGGGAAAAAGTCGAACGTTTGACCAAACTATGTTCGAACATACATGCCATTTGATAGCAAATTGAAGGCAACTATAACGAAATAACAACAATTTTAGAATAATTCCTATTGTGGAGAGAGAATATCGAATTTGCTTTTTACGGTAGTAACGCTACGCACCAAGACAGGAATCTGTTGTATCACACACTCTCTATTATATTCATATGGAAATCGACCATTCGTTAATTTTCAGACCTTTACTAATCGTCAAAGAAAATATTATTGATGAGGCACTTTTCACCACGCAGCAAAGGAATCTAATTACCACTCATTTACATAAAACGTATTCATACATTGGGCATTGTCCTTTTGAATACATGTAATACGAGAGGCAGCATTTACGTCATTTTCTACTTGCATCTCTCCGCTTCATTTGTTCCGGACCGCCTTGTACACAATACCCACAGACCCTGAGCGAAGCTCTGCCGTGGACGTCATATATATTAATTATAGTCCCTCGCAAATTGAAAAGTTGCCAATGCCGTTTCTTGCCACGCACAAACAGCCTTTAGTGTTGTACTCGTTTCGCAGTCCACGGGCTTACGTATCGCCTTCATTGTGCCCGAGGACAATGTCCGCTTCCGAGTTTTTCTTCTAATCAACGTCAACAAACACGCAAATTTGCGCTATCTCTACAAATTGTCCTCCAAGCGGCGCAAAAGACCCTCTCCCTTTTCTCTCCTCGCTTCATCTTTTCCTTTGCAGAAGTCGCAGCGCGCCACATTCTGACGTTAAAGAATAACAAGTGGGCGGGGCAGAAGAAAGGACGGTTTATTCGCGTCGGACGGACGGCGACTGTCCACACAATAGCTGGCGTCTCTCTCGCGACCTGTGACGTCTTTCTCCCAAAGAACAGAAATGCTTCTCGTCCCCTCCGGTCGTTGGAATTTGATAGTCGTTTCATTAGTTTAGAGACAATGCGGGGTGATTATAATATACTTTGCTGGGGGGCGCGGTGGCGACGGCGTTCCGAGTGGCTGGGGGAGGGGCGCGGGTGGGGGAGGGCGGGGAGGGGACAGCGCGTCGCTGCGGTGCGAGCGCCGAGAATCTTGCCGTGACAAGTGACGCGCTTGTGGGGCCGCGCTTCCCGCCCGGCGCCCCGTGCGGTCGGCTGCGCCAGGGCGAGGCACATTGTGCAACAATCGTCGCGGCACCGTCGTTAGCAGCGCCGGCATGGGGCACGGGGCGGGCTGGTGGGTGGACAGGGAGAAGCGATGGCGTGGAATGCGGCGGGCGGGCGGATGAGGAACGGAGCGGAGTGGGCGGGAAGGTCAGAGGGGGGAGTTTTATTTGATGATTGCGATAAATCTGTAAACGTAGTGAATAAGTCGTTAAGTTAAATTTGCCTAGTTTTCAGGGCGCGACTTTTAAAGTTTGTACAGTTGCTTCAAATTAGGGGTTTGTTATATTTCGACGAAATTTGGATATATGTTTGCCAATGTTAGTGATTTCTCACTATTACATAGCAGATTTGATTCCGACATCAGAAATGAGATGAATTAAGTCGTGCCATGGAATGTAAAGACATTTGACTAAAATCACTTATTCACCGCTCACAGAGATACCCGAGCAAAGCTGGTGATGGTAGTGTATTAATAAAAAAAAATTTAAGGAAAGCTGTTACGGGATTTAGTCGGAGTGAGTAGAAAACACCTCGTATACCATTGGTTTGCCAAAGTTTAGGAATTTTTGAATTCCATCCTCAAAGTTTATTAAAGAATTATGGAAATTAACAATCACTCAGCAACATTATGTCCAGATTCCAACCCAACTCCACATAGGGTTGCTGCAGCGCTAGAGTCCATCCCACACCACGTCCGACTCAGGCCAAGGCACTAAAGTAAAACCATTTCTATTCCCTCCGACGAAATCCCGTGAACTGTAATCCTAATTACATCATGGTCATGAATTCTACAGTGGTAAAAAATATAAATATATTTTTTATCAACCAACAATCTTTTCTACTCATTGAAGCTGTGAGCTGGAATATATTTTCAGCTCTACTGAGACTAAATCACGAGTACTAAATCACGAGTACTAATAAACATTTTTGGCGCGTTTTCGATAATACAGGCAAACAAACGTGAATCAGTGTTTCAAAGAAAACGTCTCCCCTGTTTCTGTTCCCGGAAAACTGTCTTGAGGATCATTAGTACCCTGTGACTCGCGCACCCTAAACAGATCCACTCATCCGAAGTTTTGGTGTCGATTGTACCGAAAGAGCGCGGTCTCTCGGCTGAGACGCCCGATTCGTTCTCGGAAGCGCGTGAATGCAGGTGCAGCGGGGGCTCGACTGCAGCACAGGCGCCGGCGGGCGCAGTGGGCGAATAATGGACTTACGCTAATAGAGGTTAGCGGGCTCAGTTAGTGGGCCGCGCGCGCCGAGGCCAGGGGCGGTGGAAGGGCGAGGGGGGGGAGAGAGCGGCGCCAGCTCAACCCTGCCATTGACCAGCAGGGCCTCGTCTGTAAGCCGCTTTAGGCCACTCTCCACGAGCCGACCGGACCTGCATTCCCGCCCCCGCGCCCGCCTCAGGTAGACAGTGCTATCTCGCGCACACTGGACTTGGCAAGAATGACGACAACAATGTTCTACTACGTTTGTCTTTAACTTGTTTCCACGTTTTAAAACAGAGCGTTATGTTGGTTGAAGAGATTTCAAGAATGGGCGGATATCTGGAAATTGTTTCGCCTTCGTTTTCCTTATCCAAATTTGCCAGTTATTATTAGATGAAGAATTACAGAGATCCGACCTAATAGAGATCTAAAAGATTTAAGAACCTTTCAGGATTTTTGTTTTGATTTGAGAAATTGTAGGTTAGCCCCACATTTATGCTGTTTGTATTTAGACACCTTGATGACTGCTCTCTTACACGAAGAACTGAAGAGTAATTTTAGGGACCAATAACATCAGCATTAAGCATCCAAAAACTATGCCAGATGTATCTTTCACACTTATTTAAAACCTAGTAGGTCAAATTTGTAGCTTTCTTATCGCGGTTTGCCGTAGGATACTGTGTAAAGAGCGCGATAACAATGAAGAGCGATTGTTGTTTTTGGGAAAGCTCAAACAAACTTCATTATTTCATTTCATTCTTTATAAGTGATCTAGCAATCACTTCACTGAAAACAATAACAAAATTGATGTCACAATTACGTTGCCTTCATATTACTACGTATAAATGAAATACTAAATTCGAGAGTAATGAAATAAAGAATGGTCAAAATTATTAGCAGTCTATATTTTTGAACGTTTTAAGTAGCATAAACCAGCTTTGCACAATTTTTAACTCATCGATAATAACTTTAGAATAATAGTCAATATCTTTCTGTTTATACACGCACACGTTGTGTCTGAAGATGGACATAACCGAGCAAGCGCACCTTAGAATCATGTCTCGCATTAGCTGCAAATCTTTCGCCTCCGCTCTCTGCTTCCTTATTGCCACAGTGGAGCTCGAACCGATGGCATCATATAAACAACCGGCGCGGTGAGAGCCGGGTCGAATATGTATGGCTTCTCTTTAACAGCTCCTCAAGCACCGCTCTCGAGCCTGTTGTGAGCTTGCAGCCGCTGAATTGTTTCCAGAACATGGGCCTTTACGGTAGTAATAGCTGCAGCAGATTTCCTATCTGTGAAGTCAGGTTTGCAAGCTCTGCTTGCTCATGTATGCCTTAGAATGTAGCATTAGTTATTAACGGCGTTATGCCGATAAAGAGAAAATTACTGACCGAGTCGCTTATTTGTGATATCGGTCGTATGTCCTTCAAAAAGTTTTGTAAATAGAAAAAACAAATTAACAAGAAATACCATTTGTTAGGATGAGTGTACTCATATGCCATCTTCGGCTACAACTCATATGTTTTGATTGTCAGTAACTGGCTGCGGACTGTTAACTCCTTAACCGTCAATAGCGACAATGCGTTCCTCTGGCAACGTTAAGTCAATATAACGGAACGGTATTACGGGCCTGCTTCGCCTCCGCGCTTGCGACAGCCCCTGAGAGCCCGCTGCGCGCTGTGTTGCAGGTGTGGTTCCAGAACCGTCGGGCCAAGTGGCGCAAGCGGGAGAAAGCCATGGGCCGGGAGACGGCCGCCTTCATGCACGCCGACGCCGGAGGTGAGTACCCTACCACTTCAGGGCCATTCCAATCCTAACTACAGAGAGTGTTCCGGTAACGAACAAATACTTTCATGTCTCGAGCTTTCATGACGCGAATATGAGTGACGAAAAAATACATTAACGAAAGATGATGCTGCCCCGAAAAGACCCTGCTGCTGCTTGATTGGGAATTATCCCGACGAGACGGATCAAAACGTTTTAAGACGTAAAATGATGTATTTTGTTGATTATGCTGCAAAGAAGTTGGCAAGCTTAAAACAACAGACGCTATTATCTTAAAAGTATAAACTTGAAAACGATGTGTCCTAGGCGTTTATAACTCTGTTTGACCCAAGGTACTTCCTAAGAATTATAAAAAGAGTCAGCTTTGGAACTTGATAACATTATTGGAACTTTTCTTCTTCTTGTGATCCCAGACAGTACGAAACAACCATTACTGCTTACACACTACATGGTTGATCTAAAATGCATGAACAAATTAATTGCGCTCACTTAACTATTCGTTGCATGATCACTCCAACAACATTTAATACCATATTAGAGTCGGGAAAAGGTTGGAAGCAACGCACAGCATTTCAATATCTTCAATTTTTCCAGTGATAATTTCACAACATCAAATATTGTACTTTCCCGCTGCTTTTATTAATCTATTCCACGCTTTAGGATGTCATGTAAGTGCGGGAAGACGATGCAAATTGCTGCTGAATCTTCACAGGGCTTCCAACAAATGTTCTGTACACAAAATGACCAATCAATAAATATAGTTTAATTGCTAATCGATTACCATTAACATTGTACTAGAACTCAGAATAAATTCTTAACGTTTCTATCATGATTCTTTTTCTACTCCCCAACATTTATTATACCCATCGATTCTTCCTGTATAACTGTCCAAATCGTATACAAGAAACCGTTCATTAATGATTGTAAATTTGTAAAACTGTATTTTTCTAAGTTATGTACCTTTTTTGTGTCTGCTCGTTACATAAAAGTTATGATTTTCCGTTATTGTTAGAAACAATAGAATTGTCCACAAAAGTGTTTGTACCCAATTTGTTTCCAGACGAACCTGTACGTTAACCGACCCCCCCATTCTCTAACACCTGTTTGTGTTAGTGGAAGTAAAGCTAGGCACATTTTTATACCAATAAAGTTTTGAGAACACAACTATTTGCGCGATCTTTCTGGTGCCAACAAATGAATTGATACTTGACTGACATTTCCCATATTTTTTGTACATTTCAGTCCCTCTGACCGGGAGGTCCTAGGTTCGAGTCCCGATGGTGGTAGGGTTTTCGTCACAAGCTTGTCAGCTAGATCGAATTCAGTCGCTGTCTGGAGGGGAATTATAGCGTCCGGCTGCTTTGATAAGTAGTTTTACGTGGTTTCTCCGATCAACACCAGGCGAATGCGGGTGTAGTACCCTAACACACTGGCCACGTACCGCGCTCGAACTTTCCTACTTCTTCCTTGTCCTATCCTCACCCCTTACACACACTTACACTAGCGTGCACTACCCTACCACACATGTCAGGAGACCGGCTGGGAGCACAGAGCGTGTCCCGGTTGAGGCGATGCCCCGCTGGTGGGAGATACGTGGTTGAGGAACCCCCGCTAGCCGACGGTAGGTCGGCCGCCGGATTTCGCCATACAGTGGGAGAAGACCACCGTTACCTCCCGAGCAAAAACAGGCACTACACATACGGGACTATTGACCTGACCTGACATACACAACACCTTTGGGAACAATGGAATTCTAAAGGGGGTTAATATTTACCAAGGGGTCGATTTTTAAAATTGCCTAATTTCACGCAAAATTACGCAAACATTTCTCATATTTTTGAAACATCGTACTTCATTCCTTGAGTCATGAAACATATTCCTTTAAGAAACAAATTGTAATTTAGGAAGACATAAACAAAATTGATCTTTTGCAATATTACAAAATTAAGAGTTTCATAAAAATGTGACCTGCGTAAGAAAAAACATTCAAGATATTGTTGAGAAAATTGTGAAAATGTCGTAGAATGTTCATGTGAAGTACTCCAGAAAATCAAAATGTCTGTTTAAATTTCGGATGACCTCGCGTTTGACCAGAGCAGTTATGAATATTGAAATTTCAAGAACATCGTCTGAATTTGCCAAAATCTGTCGAGGCACTGGTGTCGGCCTCAGATGAACGGACAGACAGAAAAGCAGACAGACGTTTTGTTGCAAACCAATTTTTCGGTATCAAGGGCTAATAAAGTATGGATTCTGACTACACATGCATTAGAGGAAGTAATTTACTACGCTGAAAAAGGGGAATTATCCCATTTTTTTTATTGCAGGGATCCACAAAATGAGTTTCTCTCTCGAAAATTTGCATTTTTGCTGCAGCATTACAATACTTTCTTTATATAGTAGTAAACGAGAAAGTTCAAAGTAAAGAGAAGAAGATATCTTCTTTTATCAATTCTGAGAATTCATAACTGTCGTTGTAGCTTCTCCTGTTTACAAAACAAGCTTTATTTTTTACCGGATCACTTCTCTCCGAAAATGCGATGAAATGGGAGAAGTTTCTCCGTGGGCAGAATATCCACACACGATGAAAGCCACTTTCGCATCTACCTATATGCGACTCCCGTCCTCCGACTTTCGCGTCAATCTCGACCGCCCCGCAGGAGTCTGGACGGATTTGCAAGCAATCATTTTCGCCTTTAATTCCCAAAATTCACATCCTCCGCCCACACACATCTGTGTGACCCGGCGCTCTTTGAATGCCCCTCCGCGCTCGCCTCTTTGGCGAGTTGCTTTCCGAAGCCGACTTTAAGTACCTTGCGCCGAGGCATTCATACCTGGGGCGAGCGCTCAAAGACGCGACGACGTCCTGGGGAGGATCGCGAAGAGCTGTCGCCGGATAATTTCACGGCGTCCAATCTAACCGGCATCAGCGAGATGAGAGGGGAGATTCGGGGGTTGGCGATAAAATAAAAGGCACGGTAGCTGGGACGTTGAGGGTGGAGTGGGATGTGGAGGAGTTGGGGAGAAGAAGGCTGGAATTGGAGGACGCTCACACGCAGAGGGGCGGTGAAGGGCGGCAAGAGGTAGTGGCGAGTAACAGGAATGATGAAGTGTGCTAAAAGTTGGTGGGGTAAAATGTAGTGAAAGAGGGTGAAGTGTAACTGGAAGTGAAGAGCGGTAAGGGCTATGTGGGGTAGCGAATAAGTAATGTCTGGTGAGGGGTGGAGAATGGAAGAGAGGGATGGTGAAAGGTAGAGAAAAGTGCAGAAGGGTAGTGGGTCTGTGGTGAGAGGATGGCCAGGGCATGGCGACAAAATAGAATGGTTTGTGGTGAGGAGAGATAGGGATAGGGATTAGGGATAAAGAAGATAATGATGGCTACTGGTGGTGAGAATGACTTGTGATGATAAGGAAGAATAGTGGATGGGGATAAAGAATAATGGTAGAGAGGATGCATAGAGGAGACGAGGATGTAGAGTGGTGGTGAGAATGACTGGAAGTGGTGAGTAGGAATAGGGTTGCAAGGATGGATAGGGGTACTGAGGATAGATGGAGGTGGTGAGGATAGCGTTGCGGGAGGGGCGGGGGGCAGGGGACCCGGGAGTCGCGTCGTCAGCAGCACCGAGTGCCACCAGCGCGGGCCGCACCCGCCCGCAGTTAGCCACCCGCTCCTTACGTGGAACCTCGCCGTTGCCAGTCTGAGCTGAGTCCCGCATATTAAATTCCAGATCCGCTCTCTATATACGTGCTTCATCCCTTTACCAAACACCGCGTAAGTTGCTTGTCCGCACATGCGGCCCTCGCCTCGCTCCGCTCCCTCCTCCCTCCCCCTGAGCCGCGGAAGGGGGAGGCAGGCGGAGACTAGGGAAGGAAGGAGAGGTAGAGAGGCAAAAAGAGGAGGACGGGAAAGAATCGGCGGGCGAGCGGAGCGAGGATCTCGCGAAGCGCGTTCGAAATAAGATATAGAACCGCCGACGTCGTAAGCTGCTCCATTACCGAGGGGAAGCTCCTTTTTGAAACGTTGGTATTACTGACCCGCGGCCATTCATCGGGGATTCCCCCAGGTGACGATATTAAAACATCGGCGCTGCCGTTGGTTGCGACCGCCGCCGCCGCCGCCAGCGCCGACGCCGGCGAAGCAGGCCGCTCCGCCCCCATCCCACCCCTCGCCCCCGCGCCCGCTCGCTCGTTCTCTGCCAGCGGTGGAATTAAGAAGTTAATTACAGATGAGGGCGGAGCCGGGGACGGCTTGCGGAAAGGGGAGGGCAATTAGCGGATGAATGCTGAAACACGTGAAGAGCGAGCCGCGTAATTGCTGAGATCCGCCATCCCGCGGTTCTGGCGGCGGCGGCCTTCTCGTGCCCCGGCTTTTGGCGGACCGCTGGCTCCCGCGACGTTTCTTTGAAGTCGTTTTTGAAATGAAATATACATTACTTTTCTAATTAAATAGCATCAAATCGCCCGGACCGCCGCCATTCACGTGCTGGGCTGCGGCGGGCAAAGTTTCGGCCGCGGGCGGGCGAGAGCGCGGCTCTTTTCAGCGCGAGGAGAGGGCGACCGCGTCCGCGTCCGCGCGTAATCCCCCGACTGACTTACGGCCGGCCGCGCGTCGCCGCCGCCGCCGCGGCAGGTTGCCCGCCGCGCGTTGCCGTGGAAACGAAGCGAGCGCGAGCCAACGCCACGGCGCATCACCGCGGTCGCTGACAGAGAGAGAGAGAAAAGGGTTCGGGGGATTACGAGCCCGGGCAAAAACTTTCAAATTGAGTTACGGCCGTCGTATTATGAGCATCTGCGTCGATCACTTGCGGGGGTAGTGCGCGGAGCTTGTTCGTGGTGCTACTGAAGCTCGCGAAGTCGTTCCTTACCGTCCGTTGAGTCCTCGGTCTTCCCAATATCTTCTTAGTCTCATGCCGCCCGTTTCCGTCAACTCTGGACGTCTCTCGCCGTCCCACGCCATCTCCCGGTGTTCCTTTCGCCATGATGAAAAGACATG